TTTTGCACAAGTACAGAGCTGTGTCCCCACCACCAAATGCCAGCTGAAGCTCTCACCAAGGGCTGACACGACAACTTCAGGTTTGCCACCGGCACAGTGATCTCCTGGTTCTTGTGGTTTCGCCCAACAACCTCCACCACGTTGCACTCATCCTTGGCGCCATCCGTGAGGCACACCTGGGGAGGACAGGAATTTCTGATGAGCACAAGCTGGCTGTCAGCTCCTAGGGGAGAGCACAGAGGCCCTCCTTAGCATAGTGCCCTCCCAGCTGGGACAGCTGTTCCTGCAGCTGCTTCAAGAGATGGCACCTGGGCTGCATTTTCTGCTGACCAGACCCTTGCTGGCAGCTCCTGTGACAGAAGGCAGTCCCCAGTGAGAGCCAAATACCTGAGCTTGGAGAGCAATTGGCCGGGGACCCAGCTGATGGGGGATCCCAACAAGGTCAAGTACAAGGAAAAATATTCTCCTCTGCCCTACAGCTGGGGTGTTCTAGAGGCTGCCTCCCGATACCACTTGCTCCAGCAGCTCCATACAATGACTGACAGCAGCAGCCCCATCTGAGCAGCCAGGGCTGACAGCTCAGCCCAGGGCACCCCATGGTGCAGCTGAGCCAGGGGGGAAGAGCGAGCCTGCAAGGGGAGGGTTGAGGCTGTAGGTCTCCATGGGAGAGGGCAAGCATAGTTTGTTTTCCTCTATCTTACCACAGACAGGGCCAAAACATGGTCAGAGTCATCATCTTCATCCACCTGAAACGTGTAGGACTTGGTGCTGGCAGTCAGCTCGCAGCCTGCAAGCAAAAGCAAAAAAAAGCTGGAGTTACACAGCCCTGAAATGCCACAGGGTCCTCAGGGCAGACAAGCCCGCAGCATCCCTGAGACACACAGCTTTCCTGCTGACTTCAAGACTGCATCCCCAAGAGCTGCAGGCCCAGCTCAACGCTCTATAGGGACAGACCTCAGTGCCCCCAAACCGTGCTGCCACAAAACAGTGCCACAGGGCTGGAGGCCCTGAGAACAGGAGTGGGGAGGATGGAGGAGGCAGGGCTGGGCAATGGGGGCTGGCAGCAGTCCTCCAAACAGTCCTGAGATGTTTTGCCATGCGTGTCTCTGAGCTGTTATGAGAGCAAAATTATTCAATGGACCGTGGCAAAAAGGCAAGGCAGAGAGCCCAGGGCGTGTTTGCTTACTGCGGGATGATTCACCCGTGTGAAGCAGATGGGAAAAGCGTGTTGCTGAGCCCCGCGCGCCACACACGGGTTTCTCAATGGAGGTGGAGGAATCAGCCTCAGCGAACACAGCTCGGGGCAAGGCCCCGGCCCAAAGCCCGGTCCGCATTCGGCTCAGCAGGACAAGGAATGAAAGCCAAGTGCCTGGAAAGCCGCGGGGCTGCTCCGCTTTGCAGGACCACGCCGCGATTGGCGGCTTTAGGCTGGGGACGGCCCCGAGCACGTGTGCGCCGGGAGAGCGGCCCGGCCACGTGTGGGACTCGGCCGGCTCTCGGGGAGGGGGGGAATGGGAGGAGGCAGGTTAGGGCCGCCCGCCCGGCCCCGGCACGGGAAGAGCAGCCGGGATGAGCCGGCAGCGCACGTGGGAATGCCGGCACATCTTCCCCCGAGCCCCTCGGCTGCCGTACACGTGTTTCCGTGCCCCGGCCGCGCACGCGGTTCACACCAGCGTCCCTCCAGCCACCCCGCCGGTGCCATCGTGTCACTCGTGTGTCCGCCCCCCCCCCCCGTCCCTCCCGTCCGTCTGCTGCCCCCAGGCCCCCTTACGCGCCCCTACCGCACCCTGTGCCGACCCCTCCGTCCCCCCAAGCCTCCCCAACCCCCAGCCCATCTGGAACCTTTCCCCACGCGCTCCCCACGTTTTACCCGCACCTCCTGCCCCCAACACATTTCCCATACGTTCTCCCTCCTCCGGCCCCATTTTAAGGCCCCCCGCTGCCGCTCACCGAACAGGACGCTGCCGGGGCCGTGCGGCTCCATGAGTCCGTAGCGCGGGGCGGGCGGTTCCGTGCCGAGAGGAGCCGCGCAGAGCCGTGCCGGGCCGCCCCGCACCGCCCCCGGCTCCGCCCGCCCCAGCGGGGCTGCACCACCCAGCGGCCGCCGGGCGCTGAGGACGGGTCCGGGCCAGCTCTGCTGCACGGCAGGGGGGAGGTTGGGGGAGCGAAGCCGCGGCCCGAAGGTTATGGGACTCTGGTGGAAGGGCTCGGCCCGCGGAGCAGCTGTGCAGAGAGGGGAAGACTTGGTGAAATGGCATATTTATGGCGTTTTATTCCCACGCAATAACAGGCGAAGGGATGTTAACCCCGGTAGGAGCCTAATGGATTTTCCTGGCAACTCGCGGCTTCCGGCTGAAGGTTTTTCTGGGGGGTGGGCAGAAAATCCGAAGTTGCGAGGGTGGTGAGCAGCCCCAAAAGGCACCATGGGAACGGAAACGCTGATGGAAGGGTAACAGAGACTGAGGTGCAGCGGGAGGGACCAACTCATCTCTACTCCTTTGGGTGCAGGCACAAGAGCAGCTCGATCTCTGGCCATACACCTTTGAACACAGCAGATGGGAAGGCAATATGCTGCTCCAGCACGCAGCACGGGGCTCGAGTAGATCTCCGAGCAGGAGAGGAAGTGATGCGGTGCACCTCTCGGGGAAGAAGCTGCATTGAAACAGCTCACTTCGGTAGTGAGCTCACTCCGCAGCCCTGGCCTGAACTGGCTCTGCTCCCACTGCAGAGAAGCCACCAGCCCGCCTGCCACGTGTGCTGCTCGATTCAAAGAAAACACACTGAAGAGGGCTGGGGAGCTGCCCCGGGTCCCAGAAAACAAGCGCTCACCCGCTGCCGTTGCACAAGCACACACACACACACACACAGGCTGCCTGTGGACTCACGTGCTCCTGCAGCAGCTGCTCCCTGAGCCACGCGGCTGCCTGCACAGCGCAGGGACGGGCACTGCCTGCAGCACCACCCGAGGGCAGGGAAGGCAAGGACGTTCCTGCGCTGCGTTTCCCTACGGGAACAATTCCCAGTGCAACAGCACGATCTGAACCATCGCCCAGGCCGAGAGGAGACGTGCAGGGGATGCGGTTTTCCTTTCCCTCAGCTCACCCGCTGTGCCCAGAATGCAGCGAGGAGCAAGGCAAGCACGATTCCCTATGAGAGACACATCATTCTTCCAGTCAGAATCCTACACGCTGAAATATACACAAAGGAACGTAACCCCCACCCCCCAGAATAAAAAGTCCTAGGACTGAAGCCTTAAGGATTCAGCCCCCCTTAAGCTGCGTTACACAACCACGCGATAGCCTCAGCCAGCAGGAGCGCAGCCAGACAAAGCCCTGCAGGCTGAGGTCCGGCAGGCAGAGCAGCTTTGGGGACAGCACCTCCCACATGCAAACAAGATGCACAAGTGGGATCCGATCCCCGTGCATTTCCCGCAGCGCCAACTGAACACCTGCGAACCCCAGGCCCTGGCAGCAAAAGCCTGACCTGCTCCGGACTGCAGGGCTGCAGGCAGGCACAAGAGAGCAATCCAGTGCATCCTGTTTTCTTTGACAGCTGATCCTGAGGGCTTCCAGCACACGTGGCATGGCACAATACTCACTGCTGACCCACTTCTGGTTCACAAACCTCATACACAAAACACACATTTCTTATTTACATTCACTTCTCAATTTTTATTCTATTTCTTGCATGGTCTTCAAATACAGTTTTACAGGTCTTTTTTTTTCCCCCCTTTCCTGCTACAGATACTGTTGATCTAAAAACAGATTAACGAAAGTGGCATTCCAACCTTAATGAAAACTCTTAACCATGAAAGATATGTGAACATATCACTTTACAATCCTAGAATGATGGCATCGGCCTGACATTCCCATAGGCTTATACAATTAACTTTTATAATAATAACAAAGTCATAGGAAGAGAAAATGTGGCAGCTCCTTAAAAGCCAGAAATAAGGCCACAAGCATCCTATGCTGTAATGCTATGAATCCAGATAAAATAAGTTGACTCCGGTATCCATGAAGAAACAAAACAAAAAAACCTCTCCCACCTGACAAACCAAGGTATCAGCTACTCAACATGCATTCAAAGCTGTATAAAAACTAGTGGCATTCAGCTCTGACTTACATGAAATCCCACAGAGCCACCCCGTACCTCTCTCTAAAACTGAAATGAACTTATTTCGACTTAAATATTTTCGCTAACGCATTGAAACAATGGTTCACATTCTGCAAAGGAAAAAAAATAATCCTGCACATGACTGCAGCAGAAGGCTGAGCACAGCATCTCCTTACAGGCTGCAGGCAACATCACTGCAGCCTTAATGCCGTTCATTATAGGCTGTGGAACTTCAGTGCAGCCAGAAGCTCGTGCAAGGAACCGAACTTCCTTTGTGCACCGCCGAAATAACCCAGGGAATCGAAGAAGGAAGATTAAGACTGCAGGTGACGGAAACATGGTACTGCAACGTTGGCCAACCCCTCCTGTGTGACACCAGGACTTCTGTGATGTACCAGTGTCACAAATGATGCGACTGGCTCGCCACCACATCCCACAGCGCGCTGGTTCCATCTCGCAGCCAAGGCGTCACACCTGGGCATGAATGCTGAGCTCTTGGAACATTTAAAAATAGGTAACCATTGAAATGAAGAGTAAAAATGTGCTTACTGTGGCATTTCTTATAGAAAAGTTATTTGATACAAATGTGCAGGACTTGAAGACCCTGATTGGCTCGAACTAGAATGAAAGGGCTTTGAAACATGGTGACTGTTCCAAGGATAAATCCCAGCTGTGGGCCAGCTCTTTCCCTCTATCTTCCACCCACTTCTGTATTAACACCACCAACAGGCACAGGTTCAGCAGCCCACCCTGTGAACTGCTGCTTCTGTCCCAGGAGAATGATGGCACAGCCTTGAGCTGTGGGAGCTCGGCAGGAAACCAACAGGCATCTGAAGGAAGGATCCTTGGGATCAGCACTCCTTACCCAATGTGCTCAGTTTCTATAGCCCTGGACATGAGGCACAGTTTAAAAAAAAAAAAAAGTCAGTGCTGTGGACAGATTTGCTCTCCATCGTGGTTTTATGTTATTCAAAAGTGCCATCTTGGACCTATATCCTTTCAGTTTTTAAAAGAAAAAGTTACAAAAACTGGTAAACAAAAAGTTAGTCAGCATACAGCTAAGTTTATATACACCGAAATTTACAGGCTTGTCATTACGTGACTTCTGCCACAGACCACTGCACATTTGTCCCTAACAGCACAAAGCTCGAACCAATGGTTGTTAGAAGTGACAATGGGTCATCGCTTTATCAACAAGCATAAAGATAGTCAAAAATAGAACTATAACTACTTATCTTTACATCTGCTGATTGACATAAGTAATCCCTCCCACTCCTGCAACTCCCAGTTGCACATCCTGCTCTACGACACCGAAACAAAACTGCGTCCTTACAGATTCTTCCTTACAGCAGCCGCTTTTCTGCTGATGCTCAAACACACAACTGCTGTCACAACGCTGATTGAGGACAATTCCTCCAGGCAGCTACATTGTCCATGCAAGATTCCTTGGCACTTCACACGAGACCAGGAGAGGACAGAGATTCTCTTGCTAAAACGGCGCGTTCAGCAGCGTTATCCTCCTCCAGCAAATCAGTCTGAATGTGTGATGGGCGATTTTCGCATAGTCCCCTCTCCCAAGCTGGCTTATTGCTGGCTGTGTTCAGCTAGACCATATGAAGATCCCCACCACTCCCCGCCCAGATGTTAAGGGACTGCAGCACTGGAACAGTTTGCTGTTGAGCACTTCAAAGGCTTCTTCCAAGGATAACAACATCCTTTGGAAATCCTTCCATTTTAGCAATTTCGAAACAGCCGAGCTTGCTGTAGAATTCCAGAATTCTTTTATCATCTGGCCTCACTTCACAAAAGGCCCCACGGGAGCCTGGAGAGGAAAAAGAGGGACAAAAACAGTGAGAGAAATACTGAAAGAGAGCAGTTGAGTACTAGAGTCCCCATCTATTTCAGCATCTCAACCCAATCAAATCACCGATTCAATTCTACAAGCAGCACGGTACCCAAAAGAGACCAGATTTATGGCAACACAGCCAACCATTCCCTAAAGGAGCCACACATTGCAGAGATCTCGTCAGCATGAACAAACCACATCCCTCTGAAGACCTCTTATTTCACATAAAAGCATCCTGAAACCCTGAATGTTGGCTCAGAAAAAAAGGCACTACAGGAAGGTACCAAACTGTGCAAAGACCTGTGAACCTCAGACGTGCAGTAAGGCAGATGGCCAAGTACTTCCCATACTGAGGGTTTGGTAATTGTTCACCAGTGCACACTTGCACATGTAGCAAAAAGCAGCACTGTCACTGCCAGCAGGGAACATACGAGCATGGACACGCTGTTCAAGATGGACATGAAAGCACACATTTCTTGTCAACTGCTCCCTCAGCTCCTCCTGTTTTCTAACTTGCAGGGTAACGGCTAAAGCTAAAAGCTACCTTTAATGAAGACAGCAGCAAAAGTTAATTATAAAGGACTTCCGGATGGCTGTTTACCCCAATCTAAACACCAACTATGGCAGACCCAAGACGTAATTAGGACACCAAGCATTCTGAGTGCAGTAAGCTTACCATTAGCCTTTAGAGAAGAGAGCAGGCAGGCCATCATGCTTTTGGCCACGCTTGGATCCGTCACTTTTTTGTGGATATCAATCTTTATCAATGATGGGAAGTTGGCAAGGAATGATTCTGGCAATACTTCTTGTTCTTCATGGAAGCTTAGCATTATTTTCTGAAAAGAATATGAGAACCAGATATTCAGTCACTGTTAGCTTTTTATTTTCATTCATTCCCAAGGGAAGTTGCTTTGCTCACAGAATACACCTCTCAAAACTTTTCAACTGCACCTGACTGCCATGGGTGGCTGTAGCTGTAAGCTTCCTATCCTCCCTATCCTTCAGCTCACAGCAGCCTGAGAAACCCGTACTGCTTATGCAGTTATCCAGACCATTTGCCCCAAAGCCAAATCTGAAGTACCCTCATCATACAGCTGCTGGCTGCAGAACTTTGAAGCCATTACAGAGCACAGGCTCACGTAAACAAGCTGCCTAACTTTGTGTAACTGAAGGCTGCCACTGTAACAACCAGAACTGGGGCTTCCTCACACAAGGAACCTTAGCATATCAGGGTTTTTTTCAGGTCAAGCTTAGACACCTTACTGTCAAATCCACAATCTGCTATCTCCCACACTCCTGCAGTGACAGACCAAGTCTTTGCTCAGTGTTGCTACTTCAGACTGGTTGAACCACTTCAGATACAGAACCAGGCCAGGCCCTCTGGACTTCAACACAGCTATAGCATGCACAGTCCCACAGCATGCATTCAGAGCCAGCCATGCGGTAGCGAGTACCAAGGAAACGTTACAACACAGCACTCAAAAGGCTGGATCTTTCCTCTGTGAAACAAAACATCCCATTGGGTTTGGGTCTCAAGAAGCAGTTAAGTAAACTAAGAAACAACTGAATCGTAAGAGATGTCAGCAATTTGAATCAAATGCTCTAAGAAGTTTGGAACAGGAGCTTTTCAGACTAAAGTGGAGACAGATTAGTAAGAGATAAGAGGTCAGTAAAGGAACTCTTTATTCTTTGGGAAAAAAAAAAAAAAAAAAAAATCAGAACTTTTCCCTACTGATGTTTAATGGCAACAGCTTCTAAACAACTTACTGATGTTCTCTCCTTTATGGTGTCAAAAGGCTAAATTGAGAAAAACCCACAGCATCCATCTCAATAGCAAGTACAAAAAACCTTCTCTGCTCTCCAGGGAACATCCTTCAATACCCATAGGCTTCAGAAGCAGACTTTTTCTGAAGTATTGTACTAGAAGCAGGAATCCTGGGTTAAAAACATTCATAGACCTCTGAATGACAAAGCCAGTTTAATAGCATAACATACCTCCTGCTTTCTCTTCCCCTGAAGTTTGGCTTTAAACATCTGGAAATCAAAGCTTCTCCTTTTTGGACCTACTAGAGCTTTGCTCTGCTTTGTTACCAGAGTCTTCATACACATGGGAGCTTTCCTATGCAGTTAAGAGCAAAAATTGCACAAATCTAGAAAAACAAAGTCAAAAGACCTACAGACTGCAGACTGAACTTGAGCTCCACTTCAATAACAGAAGTGAGCTGTAAGGTCACATTCCCTAGCTGCACCCAATGCAGAACACACACATTTGGAAAGAACAACGTTTGCTGCAAGGCTGTTTTTTTAAACCCCTTCTATGCACACAACACAACTGGCCAGAGGCCACAGACTGAATTACCATCAGGAACTGGTGAGCAGGACACCATTCTGCACCACTTACACCCATCACACCACACAAATGGTTCAAAGATTTTAAGTGGAAAAGCAACCCAGTTCTTGATGTGGTTTTCCATACTTCAACTGGTGCATCTGTCAGACCTGAACCTCTCGTGCACGAGGACACCAACGTCTCATTTTGCAGAACAGAAACAGTGCTTCACTTTCATCAAAATGTATTTCTCTTTAAATTAATGTTTGCTCTTGGTTTCAAAGCTCCTGCCACTTAGCAGTTCCAAAAACCTGTGTACTTACTGCATCAATTACTACTAAGTACACCTGGAAGGTGCCTCATAACACAGCTGCATCTGACACACAGTGAGCACTTTCAGTATCAGCACCTAAGATGTCAGATACTATGTTCAAAGACAACAGAAAGGTATGAAAAATAAATTACAAAAGCTTTAAATCCAAAGAAATACAAAGGACTGCCTTTGAGAGAAAGAAGAACGCAGCTCAGCGTTAAGTCCCAGCCTCACAGGTTATACCAACCTCTGCCTCAGACAGCTCCTTGTCGCTATTTGGTTTAGTATATTTCTCTTGCATGAAAGGGATCCAAGACATTTTGCATTTCTTAATGAAAGGAGTCACATCAACTGTTCCCAAAGCGTAGCCACATATGCCATCCTCATCTTCCAAGACAAAGCAGTAATCCAGGCTGAGGGTGAGCAGACCTCCTACTAACCTGCAGAAAGAAGCAGCCACATTCAGCCAAAAGCAGGTCCTATTGAACAGGCACGCTCTGTGTGTTCTGGATGAAGCTGAGGCCACCCAAAGAAGTGACAGAGCTCTCCAGCAGTGCAAATAAATTCTTACAATGCATCAATTAACAGACTGATCAGCTGTCAAAACTCAGTGATGAGCACCAATAGTTCAGGATCCTCACAGTTTAATTCTATACAGCCTCGGGTCTGATTCAGCACACAAACCTTCTTCACCTGTTGTTCTCAATATTCCTGCTGCCATTACCTTCCTGTTCATTTTTTTGACAGCAGTTACACATCCTTTCTTAACTACCTTCCTGCCCCTCACAGAGAAGCTTCTTTACAAAGTTCTACCTAAAATACACACCCAAGACACAACAAAATAGTTGCTCACTCTACAGCTCAAGATTTAATACTTTTACTTCTTGTCACTGCTTTAAAACGTTGATGCAGGTAGACTACAATATGCATTTCACAACTAATAAATAAAAATCAATGCAGTTGCCTGGCATGCTAGTCCTCAGAAAGTCTTTCAATTACCTGAAGAACCATACTAGGTTTAAAAAAAAACCACCAGAATGTCACCAGATACCCATGATGTACTTTCACAACTGAAGTGGTACTATGATGCATGAGTTTCTTAATATAGACGTTTCAGCTCAATCTTTTTTTCTAACAGCTCACCACACGTGACCAGAGCATTAACTGAGACACAAGTGTTAACAGTATCTTTTAGAAGTCAGTTTCAATTTCTTAATGATCACAGATGGCTTTTTTGCTTATTTAAGTCAGAAGTTGTGCATCCTGCACACACACACTTAAAAAAAACCCTCAAATTAAATACAGTGCCACAACATCATCCTTCGTAACCACTTCTGTCAGTTCACTCATTTCTAAGACATACTTGTCTCCAATTAAGTCTGGCAGACTGTGGAAAGGTTGATCAGCTCCATCAGCGTACATTTCTCTGCAGATCTTATATACAGACGCCTAGGAAGGGAGGAGAGATCTCAAGTCATGAAACTCAGAAGTGAACTCCTTTGTTTTAGAGAGATTTCATTAACAGCTCCACTGCTCCACCGTAAGCTAGTACTGACAGGACTTCACTTACACCAAACAGGAGCACACATCTCTAAGAAAGGATCAGTTCTCCCCCCTCCCCAACTACTACTATCTCACAGTCACCTGTCCAAAATATTGGTTATGTTCAATGGAAGGAAAAGAAAAATTAAAGGTCAACTTTCTGCATGTTTCTACAACTGGGGATTAATCCTGAAGGCTAACTACTAAACTTTCACTGGAAAGAAAGCCACACAGACTATTTCTAAGAAGCCAGCTTTAGACCTGCATTACAGCATTGAAAGGGGCTCCTCTTCCATACTAGGAATTACCAGAAAAATTACTGGGTGAACAGGTACACCCACCCACCTCTACAGTCACAGCACTGCATGTGCTCCCACTGCACGAATTCCACTATCAGCAGGGAATCATTTTAGCCCACTGCTGAGAAACATGGAAGGCATCACACACACAAAAAAAGGGAGATGGAAGACTGCAGTCATGCTGTGGGTGTAACTGTACTGCAGCACAGCGGGCTGTTAAATCATAGGCAAATCACTTATCCTCCATTCTCCTGTAACCTGCATTTGTTTTTTGCAAGATACTGGAACATCTGTTTCGTTAGAGGATGGAGGGACTCTGAAGGAACCAGTGTTGCCACAAAAGGAAAAACATCAACAAGGACAACAAAAGGCAGAAGCAGTTACCTCATCCTTGGGGAAGTAGGGCCTTATGGTGTACACCTTGGAAGTGGGCGTTAATGGAGGCGGTTGAAAAAAGAGGTCATTTGCCCCATCAATAGGCAGCAAACGCTGTGGAAACAAAATACTTGATGTGAGTGCATGTACAAGATCCCAAGACTCTCAGGCGTGCACTGCAGACTGCCAAATTAACATTTGCTACTTGCAGGCACCCCAGAAGAAGGTGGGGTTGGTAGGCTTTACAAATGCAAAGACCTTACTCGAATAGAAAATATCCAATTGGTGTTTTGGAATATGCAATTGAAAAAGCACATTAAAAGCCTGCTTATCCTATCTACTTTAAAATGCTTTTACCAATCGTATCTACACTGCCTCTATAAGAACACAGAATGTCAGGAGGAAAGGTTTGGTCTGAAGAGGGTTAACTGGCCAGAGGAGACGCTTTATCCCAAAAGCAAAGCGCTGACTCTATTTGCTGCGCGCAGAGCACCTGTGAGGGGGGAAAAGTACAGCACCTGAAAAATCCATGAACAAATTCGAGTTGGTGTAAGCAGACTCGAGAACAGGTTTTAGAGTATTGGCCAATTGAATCTTTCCAAGAAAACACGCTGCTGCTTTATTTAGCGACATGCATTGGGGTCGCTCCCTCTCTTTGCTCATGGAATTCCCATTGGTGGACAAGCATGCGCGCATGGCGCGACTGCGGGCGCAGATAAAAATGCTGTGCGACCTGCAAAGAAACAACGTGAAATGTACAACTAAAGCCGCTGCGCTTCGCGGGCGCGTGGGACAGGCAGCATCTCCTTGAGAAACTACTGTAGAAATGGGAGGAAAATTATTTTAAACCAAGCTGTAAGGCTAATGGGCTTTGGACCAGAAAGCCTTCGGCAGACCAATCCTTCCAGACCTCTGATGTGCAACAAAAGGTTTCTCATAAAACAAAGAAAATGTCATTCAGTTGTGAAGTCATATTGATACCTGGAACTCTCCTGCTAGACCACCTCTAAAGGCCCAGGGTTCTTGGTCTCCACTTAAGAACTGTGCTGAAGATTGACTACGACACCCTGTTGAGATCAGATCCAAGCGGAGAACGTTACGAGAAGGGGGATTTCCTGGGTGTCTTACATGTCCAAAAAGCTAACACACACTTGTGGAAAAAGCTCTCTAACTGAGCTATAATCCAGGGCTTCGGTAGAGGCTGCAATAATATATGATTTATAAAGATTTTGTATGACTTATAAAGATTTTGTATGATTTATAAAGACTTTGTGCTCATGCACCAACTGCGGTATTTCAAGTTTACAGCCAGCAACAGGTAACAAGTAACAGGTCAGTTTAAGAACACGTGAGGTGACTGAGACAGCACACCTCATTCCAGAACAGACACAAGAATGCTGCCACGTACAATTACAGAAGCCTGCCAGGCTTTCTGCACATTCTTCTGTTTGTCCACTTGTGGCAGAAGCATCTGGTTCATCTACAACAGGAGAACATCTTAGATGCTGCTGGACTCAATAGCTACTACTGCAAACATAAGCAGTTGAAGAATGAAAATTCCATTATCACAGCCTCTTGAAAAAAACTGGACCTTTCTGAAGTCACATTTTATTAGTTAACATTTCTACTCTCGTCAGAAAACTAGGACTGGCAGTATGTGCAAACAGTTTGGAACAGTTAAGATAGCCAGGAGAGCTGTACGAAACAGCATTCTTGCAAGAGACTAAACAGATTTATATAATCCAGGCCATACCTTCACAGTGCCACTGGTACGTGAGTTAATTCTAGCTCACACTAACTAGTACACCCTGTCTGTCACAGGTAATACTAGCTCTGCTTCTGCAGCATCTCAGTTTTTCCTCTTCAAGCATATCAGAGGCAACAGGGTTCCTACTGATCAGTCACAGGAGACCCATCAATGTTCTTAGCTTTAGGGTTAAAAAAAAAAAAAAAAAAGCTTCCATTTGACTTCTTACATTGTTCCACTAGCAAGACAACACGGCCTTCAATAACCAACATAACAGCTGGCAGGAGGAAAATAAAAGTGCCGGATCTGGAATGGAGATCACCTGCCTAGTTTTCTGACAAGATGAGCAGCGCAAATATTCTTTTCCTTTTGTAGACAGCAGTCTAACTCCTGTTCAAGTAACAGTCCCAGATCAGTACAGACAAGTGTGTTGTGCTAGTCAGAGAGTCCCAAAGTGTGCCAAGTTTGACATTGATTGGAATTTAGGAACACGTGTTCAGTGTAAACTACCCTAAGCACCGTCAGTATCAGAAATGATCCAAGCATCAGAATTTGGATGTGGCCAGCTCCCACGCTTTAGCATTCTCACAAAAATATACTCTTCACATGGAAATTTAGTCAATAACTTGGAAGACGGGTTGTCTCTCCTTTGAGACTACAACTTAACTAGCACTTCCAATTATTACAGTACAGAGCTGTGTGAACGAAGAGCTGTATGAACAAAAAACATAGTTAATGCCTGCATCGCTGCGCAAATGTGACTTCAGTTCATGCCTATCACACATCTAATCTATCTGAGCTGCCTCACAGACAAAACCTGTCCATTTTAATTAATTAATGACGACGCGCTGTGAACATCTGGCGCTGTCCATCCAATAGCAGTAGAAACTTGTGCTGAAGATTCTCCCATCTGTACACAATGGGGAAGAAGACAATAAAAGTCATTAGTAATCCATAGTACTGTACAGCCACAGTAATTTAAGGGACTGAATGCTAGCTGGACTTGGGAGGAGAGGTGAAAATGAACATTCAGCGGACCATTGAGCACACCATCATGAGAACTGATGTGTTTGGATTTGGCCATACCTGGCTTTACATAAGTTTATACTTGTGATAAAACATAAGCTAAGGACAAAAATCTCTCTTCTCACGGAAGCATTATTAGTTTAAGACTACTCAGCTGTAAACACCCAACTCCTACAGTGAATTTTTCAACTCTCTAATGCCAGTCATGATACCGGGAAAAACAAAGCTGAAGTCAGAGAGTCATCTATAAACATTTCATTTCTGAAAGCAATTCTGAAGCATCTGATGCATGTAAAGACTTGAAACCAAACTTAGAGGTACCTAGGAAAACTAGAAACAATTTCATCTGAAGTAAGGGAATGCAACAGGTAGCTAATAAAGTTGTAATGCAAGCTGGGCCCTCGATGTTTTGAGGTCACAAGAAACTGTGTTCTGTTTAGAGAATGGGTCTAGAGTTTTAAACAGACCAAGTTATCAAAAAGAGAGAATTCTTTCTAGTTAAACGTCAACTTACAGCAAGGATAGTAAAGCTGGGGGAGTGGTGTAACACTTGTCTTAAAACCACACACACTACAGCTTTTCTGCAGCATTAGGCAGAGATGTTCATACAGTACGATTCTGCCAAGCTCTCCTCTGTACTTGACATAAGGCAGTCCTGAAAGCTCATCTTCGTTATTCACATACACATAAGGATCACTTATTTAACAAGCACATCCACAGGAAGCTTTTCAGTAAGGCCTGACTTGATGTGTTCACAAGTCTGTGTCTCAACTTAAAACTGTCAGTATTTAAAACTACAATTTAACAATCCAAACACTTGCATTTGACCAAGGTTGTGCAATGGTTAACCACTGTGAGGATTGTAGGATTGTGACAGCTACAAAACGTGTGACAAGAGACCATCGGCTTTGCTGCCTGCTGTGTACGTCAAGCAAGTCCACAGCATATTCCTTACAGCTGCATTGAAACCTGAAAGTGAAATGAGGTCACTGGAATTACCCAGGCCATGCTGGTGCTATCTGCCAACTTTGGATCCCTCAAAAATCTTTCAGGAAAAAAAAAACAAAAAACAAAACCAAAACCACAACTACAAGCATTTCCAGACCAGCTTACATCTCAGACTAAATCAGTCTAGAAAGCTCCACAATTTCCACCCACTGTCAGAAAATAATCAAAAAACAACAACAAAAAAGCAATTTGGAAGGTGTTTCAAGAAAATAATTTTGCACCAGAATAGCCTTATGCTAAAGCTCGCATGCGCACAGGGCTGGGAGGATCAGCTTCCTCTTGGCCAGGCCCATTTAAAGGTCACTGCTGGAATTGTTCTGTTGAAGACAGCAACAGTGTTATCAAAACACAGCAAGCAGCAGGTGGCTGATGTGGTCACATTTCGTAGTGTCATTTCCAATCATGTACCAGGGTACCCAAGGAGTTATGGGGCGCAGTCCAGTGTGCATTCAGTCAAGAATAAGTTAAAGTCAACACTTACGTGTCAGATGAGATTCAAGTTTCATTAGCCCAAGAAGAAAAAAAATCAAGGTCTCCAATCTTAAACATCCAGCAGACTTCACTTTAATCCCAAAGCAAATTCACAGCAGGCATTGATTCAATAGTGAGATAAGAAAACCTTTAAAACGGGGTCAAACCAGACCCTGTGTCCAAGAAAACATACTTGCATGATGTTTTGTTTTCCCCGTGGGCTAATTCAAAACACAAAAGAAGATACTCTCTCTGGGATTATAATGGCTCCCAATGCACCTACCTAACCATTGCACAAAAGATTTCACCATTGACATAATACTCTTGATATCCCAGACGTAGGAGTACATATCATAAAGGATTGTTCTGTTGGCACAATTGGAGAGGCGAGTGAACATTCCCATCACCAAGCTGCACATCTCTTCAAACTTAGCTGCTCGGTTACGCCACTCTTCTATCTATGGATGGAGGGAAAAGATCCACAAGATCAAATACTGCCGTCTAGGGAGGACAAGTACTCTAAATAGGAAGGATGACCACGCAATTCCATGCTTTGAACCACTACATCACACGTGACTCACAAGCCTTTACTGTTCTTAGAAGCAAAGCCAGTACAGGAAGCACTGTTCAAATATGCAGACACTACAGAGCTTAAAACAGTAAATTCCACTGGATGAACAAAAGTTATTGTCATCTGTGGTTATGTTTCATGCTACCTACCCTTCAGCTTCTAGAAAATGCAACACCTATCTCTACTTCAGAAAACAGTCAACGTTGCTCAGGATTTTGATTTAAAAGGAGAGAAACAAGCTTAAGTTACACTCACTTTTTCAGCATCCTTTCCTTTGCAGTTAACACTGACAACGCTGCTATTTGCTCTAAGCCACTGGAATTCTCTCAGCATCTGTGCGCCTTTGGGCCCATGTTCATATGGGAGATAAAACAAGTCAGCAAGAAGCTGCAAGTCCTCTAAAGTCACTGGTTCTACTGCGTAGAGTGGTTTTTCATTTGGCCCAGGCACAAACTGTTCTTTGTTAATTTGTTCATCAGTCTGCATAGGGGCAATATCACTACCAGAGTCCTCCTGCATAGACATCTCCGGGGACTTAGATTCAGCTATGCTCTCCTTATCGGTATCCATTGGCTTCAACTCCTCTGTCATCTTCGCCTCAGCGATATCTGTCAATATCTGGTTAGCATTCTTGTCTGCATCATCTTGTTTTTCTACCACCATGTCCATCGGCTCCTCATCAGACTGCTTCTTCTCTTCCTCCTTTACCAAGGCTGGTGGCTCGCTGCTCAGTGCTGCGCCTTGACTCATGATGGGTTCCTGGTAGACTGTGGTGACCACAGTTGCTGCATTTAAAGACGACGGTGCCACCAGAGGCCCTACGTCCCCTACAGCAGTTTTAGCTCCGCTGTGGGCCACTTGCCTACCTGAGCATAAGAAGAAACAAGTTTAAAGTTGTCAGTATCAGCCAACAAACATTCAAAAGCAGCAACTTGTACAAATCATGGATGATTCTGTTGTCATGGCAGCCAATTATGCAGCTTCCTTCTGGCACTTTGCCTGCTCACGTCTGTCACTGTAATTCTAACTACAGAATTAGTATTTTGGCAAGTTTCCCCTTCAGATAACCACCAAGCAAAGATAGGGAGTTCATAAGATGAGTTAGCATGCACTGCCAGCAATATTTCTGATTATAATATCAGTATAAAAATCTTTTCAAGTTAACGTTTTCCCTTTGCATCAACTGACTTTTATTCCTATTCAATGTAGATTAAAATAAAAGAACAGATGCTCAAATACTTCAACCGCAAAAACATGATTGGGGAAAACTGAGATATTCAAGATCCAAATGGAAAAGGTTTTAGGCAATTTGTTCTAGCCAGCCCTGCTTGACAGAGGACTTGGTTGAGGTGATCTTACGAGGTCCCTTCCAACCCAAACGATTCTGTGAAAGCAGAGGAAAGTGACACTACCACTCCTCATCCAATGTTTCTGCCACAGCTGAGTTTTAGAGAGATCTGAAACGTTACAGTAGTTCAAAAGGAGAACTGCAAAGAGCAGAGCTAGGAGTCAGGAGAAGAGATTCTTCGACTCCACCAACAGCTATAAGGCCACTCTGACTACCCAAAACCCGTGTTTGAGAGAAACAGATTTTACCTCGAATCTCAAGCTCCCAGTGCTACAAGAGGAAAGGTGTACAATGCTGGAAGGAACCCAACTGGTTTCTGTAGACAGAAACTCAGAAAAACAAAACCAGCTGAAAACAACTGGAAAAACATGGACTCTTTAGGGGCAGTATCATTTTTCACAGTAATCTAACACCCCCTCAAAAAAAATTCTTCCTACTCTCTCAGGTCCCACAGAAATCTAGTAATAACTGCTGGGACTGACAAGATTCAGACACTTTCCTGTCTTAGATCAGAAATGCCAGAGGATCATCCTGCTTCAAGGGTGCTCCTGCTATCAGCTGGGTCACTAAAGGCACACTGCAGAATATCAAGCACTCTTTTTTTATTAGGGTTTCCCCAAGAAGCAAGGCAGCGAGTACTTCCACAGACTGCAGAGATCCGTAAAATAGTTTGAATCTAAGTGCAAGTACTGAACATGTAATCACATTTTCCTACCAACCCCCAAGTGATATCAAACCAAGCTCACTGCTGTATTGTTGAGGTACTCCGAACTCCTGAAGCCATTCAGTTAAGGCCAACTTCAGGGCCATTTGTGGGCTGTAGAGAACATCTGTTTCAATGTCTTCATCGCTGCCCTCATTTTCCAGTTTAATCTGGATAGAAACGGTACTGTCTTCAGTATCAGCTACAGAGAGAAGTTTATAAAAAAAAAAAACCTCACATAAGTTTCATCTAAAATAGAAAGAGATGACGTTAGACAAGGCGCTCAAGAACTCTCAGTCTTACTTCACAAAGAAGGACAAAGAACTGAAACTTAATTGGACAAAGCAGAAAGCTATGGTCACTATCAACTATCAGCACACAAACGGTACGCAGAAGTTACGTGTAACGACATTCAGAGCTGATCTGATCTGCTTCTACCCCAGTGTAATCAAACCCACGGACACCTGTGTCAAATACAAACCACACAACTGGTTTTATCGATTTCCTGAGATGTATCTGTAGCGTGTGCCATTAGACTTGAGATGCATCTGTGATTGCATAAAAAGTACTTTCAGTAAATAATCTGGATGCTTGTTATTTTTCAGGTGTCCTTTACTTCCAGGACAGAAAATGCTAGGCTATCTTAAAAATAAACCGCAAGGAAAGTCTAGAATAATTAAAACAAAACAGTGTAAATCACACAGTTCAACACATGCCCCAGCAAACAGGTACTCATACTTACTCATCACCACATCTTTTCTCACTCCATTCATGTTAGACTTGTACCAGGTTGCAAGTGTGTGAATAGCAACATAATTGGCTTCAAATTCACAGTTTGGATTGGTCAGAACTCCCTTTAGTCGAGGGATGAGCTCAGTTGACCGACCTTTGTAAGGTCCAAGAAAAAGCCTCTTTTGATCATAATCATTAGCATGAATGTTGTCCCAAATAACTGGTGCTCTCCTGATGATCTTAGAAACTTCTTCAATGGACTCTACTGGAATGTCTTTGGATACAACTTTCGGACCTAAGAGTGAAAGGAGACCATGAGAGTGCTCTGCGTACGCACGAGGATTCACACTCCTCACATCAAACAGTTGGACGTGTCTGTTTTTGTTTTGTTTTGATTTCTTATGAAATACTTCTGATAAATCACTTGGAACACCAGCACTGAATTAAAAAAAAAAAGCTACTTCACCTGTCCATAACACATCAATGCCAGGAAGCAGTTTTTCTCCTACAGTTCGTAAATATGGAGACTGAGCAACATTTGGGTAACAGAAAGTTCCACAGTATTCTGCAGAGGAAAAGAGAATCTTATTAGAAAGATGTAGAAATATGACAACATGCTTTCACTGGAGAAGAGAATCCTGAAAGTTAACCTCTAAATCCCCAATAGTCTAAATTAGAAGGGCATTACATATGCTGCTTAGCAAAACATCAGACAGCAAGACTACAGCATTTATTTTAAATTGTTCAAATGTCAAAAATTTGGAAGAAAACAGAAGTCCAGGTTACTGTACACAATATTGAAGAGAACTAGAAAGCATTAGACTAATTATAGAATGACCAAAAATCTTAAAAAACACAGCATATGATTTGTTAAAAGAAGTCTGCAACAGAACCAGAACTATGGCAGCCAAGGAGATAAACACAGTAATTCACAATGGTAACATTGCTACCAAATGAAGTTTTCAATCTAACAACCCTCACCAAACACAGTGATACTGTCTCCATTACAATGAAATATTCTTACAAGTGATAGGTGATACTTAGAATTAAAAAAACCAAAACACAAAGCAATGATGGACCTTGAGAGTCATCTGATATTTCAGATTGAAAAAAAAAAGGCAACTCAACAACGAATAGAAGCGAGTGATCTTACTAAAACCAGCCACCACTGGAAGAAGCGAGCATGGGAAGTGCAGTGTCTCTATTTTAAGAAACCTCTGGGAAACGAATAGCTAGCCCAGACTTTGGTACAAGTCAAACAGAAGTCCTCATTTAATCTAACTTTTAGTTCTTGAACCATTCCATCAAGCTGCTGCTTTGCTCAGCAATAAACTTTTCAGAGATGCGTAGGTTTGGCAAAACCTCTACACACAAATTCCTTGAAGCTTTCTTTATTCTTCAAATGACTCCCAAAATACTGCCTACAGTGACAGCGAGATATTAAACCAACTTCTCAAACAATAGCATAATGGGTCCTATTGTTTAAGGCTGAACTAAAGGATTCATCCTGTTTTACCTGTAGGACAGAAAAGGAATGTGTCTGGTTCTCCCAGATATTGGTAAATCTCATTTGTTATGGATACTTGAGCATGAGCAAAGGAACTAAACACTTCTTTGTCTGCTGCACACATGTTGTGGTCAATATCATCAAACAGCAGGGCAAAAGATCTGCAGCCAAACTGGGAAACCTGAAACAAGAAACAAGAGTGAAACTTGTTTTTTTTTTTTTAAATTAAAACAAATTGTGTAAATTTCAAGATTTAAAATACCTTTACAACAGGATAAAACATTTAAAAGAATTAGGAAAAAGTACTTCAGGAATTATTCTTCAGCTTATAAACCTGTAAGAAGGAAAAGCTATGAGAACAGAAGGGAGAAAGTCGGTAGGACAAGACAGGCCTGTTATCTATCACTGTAAAACAATGAGCATTCGTCTCTGATCCACTGCCCTGCCTTCCTCAAAGCTGCTTCTGAAGACCTTCAATCTGTTCCAGTTCCTACAACAACGTTGATTTCAGTGGACAGACAGCTGGGAAAGAGTTACCTAACATGCAGCAGCATTTGGACAAAGGAGAGCAGTTAATTATGGGAACAAAAAAGAGGGATACACGTCAGACCTACCACCAAAAGACTTATTGTGGATAAGGGCTCTTGTGTTGGAAACGCATCTTAACTTCAAGGTTCTAAAATATCCTCAGGACAACATTCCAAGAACAGCCTTCAAAATCTGACAGCAGATTTTATTTTTTTTTTAAATCTAGATGATCAGTGGTCACTTCTGCGAGGCAACCTGAACACATCCATTCAAACTGTCCACTGAGGCAGCCCAGTAAAATAACATGGTACTGAAGTTTTTCAAGTTAAGTAGGACTACAGCTGCAGGAAGCTCAGATCACATTTACCTGGTCCAGCTTGCGCTTCAGTGTGGATACTTCTTTGGGATTTGAGAAAGTGATGTCAAGCCCAGGTGAGATGGCATAGATGAACTCTATTTCATGTTCACGTGCAGCTGATATCAGAGTCATTAGCTGCTCTGGAAATCAAATTCAAATATTTCAGAAGGATTCAACAAGAAACAGCTTCCAAACTATGTGTAAATAACGAACTCTAGGTGCCTGTGCTACCATAACAAAATAATAAATCAAGGGATTTGCTCAAATTCTGGAAAAAAAAAGGGTTCTTTTTAAATATCACAGGACAGAAGTAGTTGCTTTAAGAAACAAACCTCAAATTTAATCTTACATACAATGAAGAAAACTAGTTCTAGAACATCTAATGGTATTTGTTGTTATTTGAAGTTCCCTTGCAGTACCTTCTAAATTATACTTCTGCCGTGATTCAGTGACATCCAACAAGGATTATTTAATTTCAAGTAAGTATCACTTTTCCCCTCACTCAAGGAAAACAATAATCCCAAAAGCCAGTAAGACACTGCAGAATCTGCAGAAGCCAGAGGTGAATAAAAAGCCTTGCATCACCTATTACACAGACCTTTCATGCCCTGACTAGCCATAAGCTGCTTTTCTAACCTGTGCTCACATAAAAAGCCATACATTTTTTTCTCCTCCTTTTATTTATTTTTTTCTTTAATGAAGCAAATCATTCTGTTCCACCATATGGCTCAGGGGATCAAGAGCCAGAGGAAGGAGCACTTCTAAACAACCTTTCCCAGAGACGGGAGGGGGCAGAAGTAATTTTCATAAGACAAAGCCTTAAAAGCAATTTTAGAAATTATCCACAGAATTATAGTTAAAAGAAGCAAATCCATGCTTGTACCAAAGCTCCCTTAAACACGGCTGCAGGGTATTAAGAACAGGTCTCAACGCATATCTGTAACTGGCTGCTGTGATTACATACACAAGTGTACAGAGCAGCGACCGATTCACTGAAACAAATCAGAGTGGCCTGGTTGAAAAGGACCACAATGTCCAGTTTCAACCCCCTGCCATGTGCAGGGTCACCAACCACCAGCCCAGGCTGCCCAGAGCCACATCAGCGTGGCCTTGAATGCCTGCAGGGATGGGGCATCCACAGCCTCCTTGGGCAATCTGTTCCAGTGCCTCAGCACACCCTCTGTGTGAAAAACTTCTTCCTAAGATCTCCTAGATCTACTCCTCGGAAGCAGAGCAGAAATAGAAGTGATTACCTGCTTCCTCCACAGAGTACATTTCCCGCCAGAACATCCTGTGCTTGTAATCGTCCTTTGGAGCATACAGGTATGTATTCAGTCCCCACTTCTGAAGCCTATGAGCACAGGATGAAAGCCTTAATTGCAAGAGCAAGCTACAGATCCAGAAATGCTATGTTTTATTTGGCTCGTGTTTTTTCTCTACACCCCTTCATTGAAGATTGTGTTGTACTATCAAGTACACACTTGATATGGGACAAATTTGGTTTAAGAGAGACAGGACTGTGAATATGCATCTCCAGAATACAGACAGTATGCAAAAGGCTGCTCTAGGTTAAGCCTGAAAAGAATTTCTGTTCTAAGTGGAAGATCATGATTACATTACACTGGAATGTGCTGCAGAGAGAGGAAGCATGACTTGCCTTCTAAAAAGTTCTTTCCTCTGCTCCATAACCCAAGGTCTTCCATAAAAGCCTACAGGAAACAAGACCAAAGTTATCCAGTTAGACGTTAAATAGTGCCCGTTCCATGAAACGAAATACTACAACCAACCCTTCTCTCATTTTCTTCCTCTACCAATAAACTGATTCTACTACATTCATCATGAAGTTTCCCAAAGCAGAATGGAAAAAAAAAACCTAGCTAGACAGCATTACAAAAGTGTAATAAACCAATCAGATCTAAATTTAAAATGCAATTATAGCTTCTTTAATTTTTGATGACCCAAAGCCTGATAAATTTGGCCATTAAAGCAATTAATTTTCAGAACCCAAACTGAATTCCTGAGCACATGCCCTTCACAAGTCAAGTCAGCACTATGGTAAGGGCAGACTAAAGAGTCGTAACCTAACTGGACTATTGCTTCAGACACCTGGAAAACACCTTCAGCTGTAACACGAATACTGGAAATGCCTGATTCTATTTAGCAGCATTACAACACTTAATTCCAGATACAGATTAGAAACCTAAATACATACACATAGCATACAAACACACACTGAGGAGAACGATAGGTAAGTATGAAATCTTGAGCATTTTGCTGAATTAATCACCCCAATTAACGGGTTTCTTGTCACAATTAACTCAGTTGATCTCCCACACGACAAGTGCCTACCTCTCCAAAAGCCAAGATAGTCTCTGAATAATCATTTAAAAACACTTAGAGATTTTACAATGGTGTACCTTCGAGGTCACTTACTTTGCATGAATTCTAACACATTCTGGGTTCAATTCTACTCCTCCCATTCCAAAAACATAATGCTTAAATAAAAATAGAGTGCTTTTTGAAGTGAATTCACTTAGACCTCTGTGCAAACAGCTCAACCAGACATGGGCACTTTGAAACAAAGCTTCAGCCTGGCAGTCTGTGCAAGACATCAGTTCAAAATGTGAGCAGCATCTCCATTTTCAGAGCTATTCACCGTTGTAAATCTGTTCTTAAAGAAGCCAGAGAATGCGCTCCTACAGCCTGTCAAAGCTAACAATTTCTACACGTTCACAACCATTTCATTCGCCCATTAAGAGATCAAAGATCATCTTAAGAAGTTTAAAGCAGGCTCAAGTTTTCAGAATTAGTCTCCCAGAGAGTGACCTCAGACTAACTGGCACCACAGCGTGGAAAAGCTGAGTAACTACTGCTTCTCACTGAACTGCGAGGTGACGAATTGAGGATGGTGTAACAGAGGAACAAATGAGAGAACAGCTGCAATGCATCTGAGACTGCTTCACCCAGAAAAAACTCCTCATTTTCACTAGTGACTTCATGCTGACTAATGCCAGTCCGAGGAAGCTCAACAACTCACAAACAGAACAAGTAACTGTAGCGCCCAGTCAATACCACCCACATCCCGTAACTTGTTCAGAACATTTCTACTTCACCAACAATGTTGCTGCTTCAGACCTAGCAGCCTGGAGCAGAGCACGGGGCTACTGCAAAAAAAAAAAAAACAAAAAGCCAAACACAACATGAAGAACACGACGAGCAGATTGAACAGAACACTGAAGAGAACACGCTAGTCAGAACTGATATGGTACTCTTCCATCTGTCAGCGCATTTCTTATATTACTGATGTCATCAGCTGATGGCTATCCTTGGATCTCTATCTAACTAAAACTGACCCGGTTTTCTATTACTCCCTCAAGACTGCATGTCAGGTTCACACAAAGTCACGAGATCATGCCAAGTATTCATATCCCAGCTGCCACACTCACCACCACTAAAAGCCAGGCTGGCTGTCCTGGAGGATGAGCACCATCTCTGTGCATTCCAGAGCTTACATTTTATTACTCTCAAAACGGTGCACTCAGTGGACTGTAAGTTCCTCACATTCTTTGAGTGCATTCCCAGTATACTTGCCTGCTATTTTACTAACTTTTACCTCCTCTTCCTGCAAAACATCTGGACTCTGCTGTTCACCGCTTTAATTACACGGTATCTCTAGGCTGTGTTAGCTGCTGCACTATGTGTTTACCTTTGCTTCTGCAGTTAATCTGTTCTTCTCTTAACCCGATAAGCCTCACGTTACTACAGAGACCGGCATTTCCTTCTGCTCCCACTTGCCTCAGCCAACACAACTGCTGCTTTGTTTTTACACTCCCTCATTCCTAGTCTTCTGTACACACACAAGGCTAAACAGATAACTCCCAGCTAACATTAGACTGCTTCACTGGGCAGGAGCCATTTTCTTGCTTCATTTTACTACGTAGTCATGAACTCCTATATTTATAGCAGCTGCTGCTAAATACATGCAAATAGATCTACAAGGTAATTAAAACACCCCAAAAAACGGCCACGGTGCACACACAGTGGTTTGACACACTCTGTGATGCTGTGCTCAAGGCACATTGTTCAGGAGTGTGAGAAATCACGCAGTTACACTCTTTATTTCTGCTCACTACTACCTGCCTCCAAAGGATATTTCTCCACAGAGAATGGTTTAATAACCACTGGTTTAATAACCAGCCCATCTCTCTCCACACTGGCTATATTTAAGCCCCAGCAATGCCACAAAGGAAAGGCATGAACCAGGCCTAGTGCACATCACACAGCGATGTACACTGGAGCCAAATGCTCTATTTAAGATATGAACAAAAGACGTTCTGCAAGCAGTGCAGATACTGACTTTGATAAACTGCCCATTCCGCTTCTCATCTGTTAACGCTTTTGTTCTCCTCCTGGAGAGTCATTATAGATACCAAAATAACAGCAGTCCACAGGAATTTAGAGGTATTACAAGCCAGCTAATTAAGTAGGGAAGAACACATCTTTCTCGCTGGCTTTCAACCATCTACCTTAACCAAGACGGCAAAAACGCACGTCAATTCTGTAGTTACTGACAAATGGAAAACGAGCCCTTCTCTTCTGAAGCTTCTGGAACAACTTAAACCTTTGAATAGAGCCTCTATAACAAACTGGGTGAAAGAAACATCCTACAGCGCTGTTAAAACGTTAAGCCATAACACCGCAGGGCAGAGGGAGCATCTGACATTAATCGCAGAACAGATGTCTCTGCGATCACCTACTCCTTACCCTAGAAACCCAACCCGAGCCGCGCGTACAGCCGGGCTAATCGCAGCGGAGCGCTCCCCTCCCTCCTCCCCCTTCCCACACGTACAGCACTCGAGCCGCCCGGCCTCCCACAGGAATCCTCGGCCCGCCGCGTTAGCCAAGGCCCGCCAGCCAGCGGCTCCCGGCACGAGCCGCCCCGCCCGGCACCCGCGGCTGCCCCGCCCCCAGCCCGCACCGCCCGAGCCCCGCGACCCCCCCGGCACACGGCGCCGGGATCTCGGCCTCCCCTTCCCGCCAACTCTCACCTTCCACCACGCCACAGAGGAAGCGGCGGGAACCCAGCGCCGTCTCCGTCTCCGTGTCGGTTTCCTCGCCCCCCGGGACGGCTCCTGCGGCGGCGCCCGGCGGTTCCAGAGGAGCTCCGGACGCTCCGGCCGGGTTGGGGCTGCCCTGGGGCTCCTCCAAGGCCGCCTGCCCCTCCTTCTGCACCATCCTGCCGCCCGCCGCCAGGACCCCCGCTCTCCGGGCCGAGCCCCCGCTCCCCACCCCCCTTCTCCCCTTTGTCTCCGCCGCCCCGGGACGCCGCCGCCGCTTCCTGTTTACGGGGCCCTGCGCCTGCGCGCCGAACCGGCCCCGACCGGTCCTCACCGCTCCGCCCGCGGCTCGGAGAAGCGCGGAAACGCCGCCGCGGGGCCGAGGGAAGCCGGGAACCGGGCGGGAGATCGCGGCCAAACGCCTCTCCCCGTCGCGCCGCCGGGAGCGCGCGGCTCGAGCGGGAACGGCGGGCCGACGAGAGGGAGCCGCCGCGGGGAACTGGCGGGCGGAGGGGAGAGCCCGCCTACGGCGCGTGCGCAAAAGGCGGAAAAGAGCGCGGCGCGCGTGCGCGAAGGGCGGGCGGGGGGAGGGGCGAGGCCGCGGCGGCTCACGACGCCTGCGCAGGCGACCGGATCGTGCTTAATGCGCGTGCGCGAGAGGCCCCGGGGAAGGGGAGAGGCGGCAGCGCAGCAGCGCGCAGGCGCGCGGCGACAGAAGGCGCTTGCGCAGTCGGCTTTGTGTAGGGAAGCGGTGCGGATGGGGAAGGGGTGGGAATTAAGTGTTTACTTCTGCGCTGCGCGTGCGCGCCGCGGACGCCCCTTGGGTGTGCGCGTGCGCGTTCGCTGCGGTGCTGCCGGTGCGGCTGTCGCGCGAGTTCCCCTGGGCGCTGACCTGATTTGCTGCGGCGCGCTGAGGCGGCCCGGCGGGGAGGCTCAGAGGTTTGGGGTTCGGGGACTGCAGAGAAAGCCGTGGGCCGGCCTTCGCGTCCGTGCTCCCTGTTTCCCCAGCTCCCCCCTCCAAACGTCCGACAAAGGCAGAGGGGAATACCAGCAGTGTGCATAGCGATCGTGGTTAGATTTTATTGTCTTTTTCTTTTTTCCTCCCCACCCCTCCCCCCATTTTTTTTTTTTTTTTTTAACCCATCTTATCGTTATAATACAAAATATACAGACTGGAGATGCCAAGCGGGTTGTGGGTTACCATGCCCTGGGGCGGGGGTCACGCCATGCGACTGCAGCGTGAGGGAGGGATGGGGGAATGGAGAGATGGAGGGCCTCTGCGCCCAGCGGGACAGGAGGTGCTGGGGTTGGGGTTACCTGCCCTCCCGCCCAGGAACAGGGCTGTGAGATGAACAGTGTGGTGGACGGAGCTAAAAAACATCACGTCTGCACAAGCCAAGCCTGGAGCAGTGGGGGCTGCTCCACAGCTGAGGCTCAGGGCCCTGTGAGGGGGTCCGAACGGCTCTGATACCAGGGCTCAGCCTGGTGTGGTGCACAGCCTTGCTCACCTGTTCCCCATCAACCCCAGCCGCCGCTGCCCCTCTGGACACAGTGTTGGGAAAAGCTCGGCCAGGCTGTGGACTAGGACCTGAAGCCGGTGGGGCTGAGCAGGAGTTTGATGTGGAGACATTAGCCCCCAAACAGTACTCGGAAGGATATGTGGGTGGGACAGGAGTGCACACCCAGCTCCAGGCAGCTGTTGATGACAAACAGGGAGCCCGGCACCCTGAGTGAGCGAGGAGGGGGACAAGTGGTTCATGTCCCATGTAGGGGACGTGTCCCTAACATCAGGGCACAGGAGGAAGCTGAGGCGCTGATGCCTGCTGCGAGACTCTTAGTTCCTAGAAGTGTTGCTGGAGGGTCTGGGCTGGAGCCGGTGCTGCGGCTGCTGAGGGGGTCATGATGTGGGGGCACAGGGAAGGCCCTATGGCAGCCCAAGGCTGCGGCTTTCCCTCTAGGATCGGGTGCAAGAAGCCCACCCAGGCCAGATGCCCCATGCCAGCTGTGCCCACGCTTTGGTGGCACTTTTGTGTGGGGCCCCCAAGGAAAGCGGGGCTGGCCTCGGGGGAATGATACATCCAGGTGCTGACCATGTCTCTGTGTGGCAGCTGGCAGCAGGAAGGGCTGGAAGGAGAAGTTGAGAGAGGAGTGGGGTCTGAGCCCGATGTCAGAAGAGCTCAACTGGAGACAGCTAAATGACGTTGTCGAAGAGCTGCATGGACCTCATGATGTTCTCATCCTGCAGGGAGGAGGAGGGTTTGGGCACAGAGCAGCTCTCTGGGCTGCTCCCCCAAAGTGGGTGTCACCCCATGGATCTTGTCCAGCTGCTTTGACACACAGGACAGGAGCTCTGGGGCTTACATGGGCCGTGCTGGGATGCACTGTTCCCCACCCACACAGGGATGATGGCATGAACATGGCTCCTAGTGCAGAGCCCCAGCAATGCTGCACTGAGCCCTGTGGCCTTACCTTCTGGCAGGACTCCAGGAACTCCTCGATTGTGACCACACCATCTTTGTTTCGGTCCATTTTCTAGAGACAAGCACAGCATGGAGGGCACTGCAGGGATGGGGACAGTCCAGCACCCCCAGCCCAGGTTCCATGGCGGCTGGATGCAAAGCAGAGCACCCACTGCCAGAACCTTTACAGAGAGCACTTCGGGCTTGAAAACCTCCCTGTCCCAGGCAAGCTGCTCACTGGAACCCTGCTTTGTCCCCAGCATAGGGTGTTTTCTGCATGCAGGGTCCCTACTGATGTGCCCAGCTCACCTGGAAGAAATTCTCCACATGCTCCCGGGGTGCTTCCTCCCGCATGGCCGGGTAGGTGTACTTGCCCATCATGTCGTAGATGGATTTCATGATGTCCAGCATTTCCTGGAGGAAGGCAGTGTTGCAATGTGGAGAAGCTCTGCCTCCATCTGGTTCTCATTGCAAATGTTCATTATGCCCCCAAAGAACCCATTAAATTCTCAAGGAAATGCCCTGAGCCCTGCCCTCATCCCCACTGGGTGCAGAGCTGCTTCAGCCTGGACCCCTCTCTCACCTCTTTGGTGATGCAGCCGTCTTTGTTCAGGTCATAGAGATTGAAGGCCCAGTTCAGGCGGTCATCGATGGTACCTCGCAGGATGATGGACAGCCCAGACACAAAGTCCTGCAAAGCAGGTGGTCACCCTTTGGAATGACAGCCCCACAGAGATGCCACGAGTCTTTTCCCTCAACCAGAAACTACAGAACTCTTTCTGTTGTTGCTTTGTACTGTTTTTCCCACTAACAAAGTCCTTCAGTAGCTGCCCATGGCAGTCCCAGCCCACGGCACACAAACAGAGAGCCCCTGGCAAAGCCTGGCCCCCTCCTTGGCTCACCTCAAAGCTGACAGAGCCATCGTGGTCAGTGTCGAAGGCATTGAAAAGGAAGGTGGCATACGTGCTGGAGTCTGGAGGAGGCAAACAGTGAGAGAGAAGACAGCCCCACATGGGACACCAGGGATGGGGACCCACACTCACCTCCTTGTGGGAAGAACTGCGAGTAGATCTGCTTGAAGTTTTCTTCATTAACGATGCCACTTGGGCACTCCTGCCAGGGCAAATGGAAGCGTCACACCATCAGCGTGGGGAATGGTGTGATGCTCAGGGCTCTCTGCCCCTAAATCCCAGGATTGGGGCACCCCCCAAAGCTTCAGGGGAAACCGCATCCCCACTGCTGCCATCTGTAGCCATTCAGAGTGTGACAACAGGACGCAAAAGTATCCCCAAGGGTTGCATGGCTGCAGAGAAGGAGTGAGGGCTACTCACGTTCTTGAAGCCCCGGTACAGGACCTGCAGCTCTTTGCGGGTGAACTTGGTCTGCTCCTGGAGCTGCTCCAGCCCCTCGGGGCGGTGGCAGACGGTGGAGAGCTCAAACTCATCCTCGACACTGTCTGCAAGGAAGTTGGGGGAGGAGAGGGCAGTTGAAGCCGTGCTGTCCTGCCCAGCCCTGCAGTGCTAGGGGCAGGAGGTGTACTTCACACTGCACACTTCCACTCAGGACAGCAGGCTTCTGGGGTGTCCCGCTCAGCTGCAGCCAGGTGTATGCCAGGAGGGAATGCAGGCCTGCCTGCTCTTCCCTAGCATGATCATCTGCCCCATAGAGCCGAGACCCTGGATGCCTGAAGGTCTGTGCTGCGCGGAGGCTTGTCTCTAGCAGGAGATCTCCCCCCCTTTCTGCCCCCAGCTCCAAACATCCCCTCCTGCCTTGTCTAGCTCCCATCCTGTCTGCTGTGCCCCATCTTCAGCTATGGTTTCTCCCCATTCCTACAGTGACCAGAGCCCCCACTACAACCCTGAGAGGCCCTGGATCCCCAGACTCTGCCCCCTCATACTCACCTCTTCTCTTGGGGGGACTCAGCTTATGCCGTGGAACAGGGAACATTCCCATTCGGGGTCTCCCAAAGGGCCAAGCATGACCCAGGGCAGGCTGGGGGCTCTGTCTCTACTCATCCCCCTCCCTCCCCTTCACATCTCTGACACAAAGCTTCCAGCAGCATCCTCCAGCCAGGGTGTGGTTCTACTGCCCCCAGCCAGGTCCAGCCACCACCGTGCATCCCATCAGAGCCTCTCCAATGTGCTGGAGGGGGTAAAACAGACCGGGAGCAGGCGAGGAGGGAGGTGGGTGCAGAGACCATCGGATCGGACCCTCAGGGGCAGGACTGATCCTGACCCCCCCCATGCTGCAGGGCAGGGGGGACGGCAGCCAGCAGCACTGCTGTGGACACACACACACAAAGGCAAGAAGAAGCACTTGCTTTCGCTGAGCGAGGGGATGGATTTGGGCCGGCAGCAGGGCAGCAGTTTGAGGAATCGCTGCTTCAGCGCTTTTTTAGTTTGGCCCGGCGGGTTGCCTGGAAGAAAGAAGGAGTCACCAAGCAGAAGAAGAGTTAACAGAGCAGCGGGCCCCGGATGCAGGGTGTCAGGCATGGGGTGAGTGGGACCAGTGCATGCAGATGGGGACGGAGCAGGGAGGCAATGCCCAGCCCAAATCTTTCAGCCTTTCTGCTCCATCCCAGGACAAACCCGGCCCAGTTGCTTCCCTCATTGAAAGGGAGTGATAGAAAGGTGGCCCTGACCCATGGCCAGCATGTCTGGACACCCATCAGAGCACAGCAGTGTGCGGTGGAGCCCGGCAGCCAAGGAGATGGCAGGGCTGGCCTCTGCCCTTTAGCCCCAAAGCCAAATGCCTGCTCCATGGGGAACTCCCTCCAAGTGGGGCTGTACAGGATGAAGTCCAGGATGGGACTGCATCCCCCAGGGCACTACGTCCTACCCAGGGGCACGGGGCCGGGTTTAATCCTGCTGGCCCATAGGGCTGAACACGAAGCATGCCCCCAGCTCAGCCATGCAGCCCTTCTGCTGCATGCATCCCCACCCCAGTGCAGCCAAGCCCAGGGCCCTGGGTGAGGACAGCCAGGAAGGAATGGAGTGCAGGGCCTTTGCCTCTTCCAGGAGTCATCCCCTGCTTCAACCTGGTCACTGCCATTGCTTCCACGTCCCCCTGCTCTTCACCCCCTTCCCCAGTCCTTAGACTTTATCCCACTGTTGGCCATGACCCATCTCTCCTAACCTAGTGCTGCTCCTTGGCCACATACCTGCTCCCCCCTTTCCCAGGGCCTCACAGACTGCCCCAAGCTGGCAAGCAGCACAGGGTGAGCAGCATAGGTGGGGAGGAGGAGGAGGAGGAGAGGAATGCCATGCTGGGCTCCAGCCCCCAAAGGCAGGCAGGCAATAGGACAAAAGGTGCAAAGTCCCTTTGAATACACACCAGTGGGTGGCCCTATTGCTTTCAGGTAGTGGAGAATAGTTCTAAGAGGTCGGTGGCCCCCAATGGGATGTCACACAAAGCCACTCAGAGAAGGCGAGTGTGTGCCTAGGGAGACGCATCCTCAGCAGGGATGCTGCAAGCATGGTTTTACCCAGCTATTTTACAGGGCTGCTATTTGCATTGGGACATGGCACCTTCCAGCCTGCCCAGGATGCTCTGCATCCAGCCCCATCCCCAACAGCATCACACTGTGGGACCAGCCCTAGGAGCAGGAGCAGTCCTGGGGACAGGGCAGGCAGTGACACAGCACTGGCGGTGGGACCACGGGAGGGATGGGGCAGGGGGAACCACCAAGCCAGAGAGATGCAACAGAGAAAAAACCGTGGTTGGACTCACAGGGGCAGCAGGTATAGGCACGTGCAGTAGGTCAGGTCGGGTGCAAGTTACACTTTAGTTTGTTATAAAGAAGGAAAAAGAAAAAAAAAAAATAACACAGGCGTTTTCTTAAGGAGGAAACCGAACAGGGCGCAATTCTGGGGGACCCAGGGTGGGAGGGAGAGGGTTCAGCACATGCAGTTTAACAACAGGAGAGGGAGACTGGGGCTGGCGCTTTGCTGTCCTGGCTTTGGCACACCCAAGGGCTCTGCTGGGGATGGCACAGTGTCCCCTTGTCTCCAGCATCCACCCTGGATGTGATAGGGTCAAAAAACAGCTCAAGGGCATCCTCACGCACAAGCAGCCCCTGGGCACAGTTCCCTGCTCTCTGCCACCGATTGCCTCACTGTTATCTGCATGCCCTCCATCACATTCCTCATCCTGCCCAGTGGAATGAGACCTGCAACCTCTTCATCTCACAGCATCCTCAGTGATGGCTATGATGGGTACAGAGGGAAATTCACAAACTCAAAGCACACTGCATAGAGTCTGCCAACAACCTTCACCCCAGGTGGAACTGCTGGTAGCACGGATCAAGATGGCAGCCAAAGGGAACAAGCAGCAACACTGTGCCTCTCTGCACTCCAACATCTCCAGGCATAAGCAACAGGTCCTGCATCCCCTGCCCCAGCTTATTTTGGGTCCAGACCCAGCTATTCTCCCCACCCTAATGCTCTCAGCCATCCCAACTTTCAGTAATGCAGCACCACAACACCCCACATCCCAATGACTCAGGTATCCCCCATTCCAGCATCCCTGATACCCCTACATCCCAATGCCTCTCCCCACTCTAGTATTGTAACAATCCCCAATAACTCACACGCCAGCACCCAAATCCCTCACTTCCTGAGCTCCTTACATCCTGGTGCCCTCAGACACCCGCATACCCTCCCCATGCCCCAAAACACATTCTCCTCAGCACGCTGAGAGCACCCTGCAGCTCCTGCATACTGCACACACTGCCCTGACACAGGAGGCGGGGACCAACTTTTACACTGCACCCCTACCCCGTTGTAAACCCACTCCATCGCATCCCCACCCCACTGCAACCCCATCACAGTTTTGGTTCCACCTCCCCCAGTCAGGTGGATAATGCCCAAGACATGGAGCAGCTTGAAGCTGAAGCAGAGCAGCAGGATAATGCCTACTGTTTTCAGCTCCTGCAGATCCCAGAGTGCAGCAGGGAATGACATCCCTCAGCTGCAGTGCCTGACCCAGCAAGGCAGGAGAGAGGAGAGTGTGGGATGCAACAGTTTGGGGTCCCCTCATTGGGCACATCAGTGACAGGAGGCAACAGCCCAGCCAGAGGGAGTTGGGAGGGGAGCAGTGTGAGAAGTGATTAATGTGAAGCCAGAGGGAGAAGAGATTCAACAAGCTAATTATGTCTGGCTGGGCTGAGCGGGATGTGACGCTATGCCAAGTCATAGGGGTGCACACCACGGTCCTCGGGGCTGCTCAGTGCTGGGAGTTAGAGGCAATGGGGTCAGGATGCAAGGCCAGGTCCTGCCCTCTGCCTCCTCCTCACCCCGCAGGGATGCTCACCCCACTGGGAGGTGCCTCCCAGCCCCACATCCCAGGCAGCACCCACCCACCACACCCTAGGAGCTCACCAAGATGATCCCTTCCACCCACCCCGCAGATGGGACATGGCACTCACTATCCCATCACTCAGAGTCTGCAGCTCCATCTCATATTCATCCACTCGGTTACATGGGCGGCTCTCTTGGCTCTCTATCTGCCTGCCCAGCCCTGCTCCCAGCCGGAGCCAATTTCTCCTCAATTAATTATTGATACTGCACTTCAGCAGCCAAAAACAACAGTTTTTTTCTTCTCCTGTCCCCTCCCGAGGACTTGGCCACGGCAGGCTCTTGGCAGGGGTTGGTGATGGGCACAGGTCAGGCGGTGGCACAGGGCACAGCGGGGTGACAGCACTTGGCAGTGATTAACTGGCTGGAAAATGACACCAGGTGTAGAGTCACCCCTGAGATGACACCAGCATGGCCACACGGATGGGACAGGGGGGACTGGCTGTGGCTTCAGCACCGTGTGTGGGGGAAGTGCAGCCGCCTTGGTGGCTCTGGAGTGACATCCATTAGCAGACCCAAACCATTAGTGTATGGTTTCAGGCTCTTTGCAGTCCATGGGCTGTCATTGCGTGCAGCTGGTAAACAACAGGCAGGCAGGGCACTAGACACTTCCCCATCCTCAACACCACCTGGGGCCATTCTCAGTAGGCAAAGCATCCTATCTGCCACCTCCAGAGCCCAGGGGGTGACAAAGCCTCTGAGAGACACAGGCAGCACTCAGGGCATGGTACCAGGACCCAGACTCTCCAGCCAGGTGTTTCCCCCTCCTCCACTCACCCCTGTGGGGATGGGAGCTGATGCAGGGCACCTGGTCCCACTCCTGTCTCTAGAGCTGAGGCAAATCCCTATGCTTCTCAGTGTCCCTAGCCAAGGGGACATGCAGGTCCCGGAGTGGTGACATGGATAGAGAAGGGTAGCCCATCCAAGCTTCATGGTGGTGATACCATGAGATTAAGGACTACATGGACTACTACTGTTGTCCCTCTGAATGTGTGGGCACAGGACCTCCATCCCCACTGCTACAGACTCTCTTGCTGGGGACAAGAACTGTGCCCCTGGGGACAGGGCTCAGCCAAGGGCTGGCTCTTGCCGTGTGCTGTGC